TGGATAATAAAACATTCAAAGTGGAGGGAGTAAAAAAGAAAGAATGATTGTATATCCTCTTCTGAGAAGTGTCTGTTCAGGTCCTTGACCCATTTTTTGAGTTATTTGGGGGTTTTTGTTTGTTTGTTTGTTTGTTTTGTTTCGTGCTTAGCTTTTTGAGTTCTTTATATACCCTAGAGATTAGTGCTCTATCTGATGTGTGAGGGGTAAAGATTTGCTCCCAAGATGTAGGCTCTCTATTCACCTCACAGATTGATTCTTTTGCTGAGAAGAAACTTATTAGTTTGAATCCATTCCATTTATTGATATTGGTTTTAATTTTTGTGCTATAGGAGTCTTATTAAGGAAGTTGGGGCCTAATCCCACATGATGAAGATCAGGGCCTACTTTTTCTTCTATTAGATGCAGAGTCTCTGGTTTAATTCCTCAGTCCTTGATACACTTTTGTGCATGGTGAGAGATAGAGGTTTAATTTCATTTTGTTGCATATGGATTTCCAGTTTTCCCAGAACCGTTTATTGAACAGGCTATCTTTTCTCCAATGCATGTTTTTGGCACCTTTGTTTAATATAAGATAATTGTAATTATGTGGGTTAGTCTCTGTGTCCTCTATTCTGTACCATTGGTCTACCAGTCTGTTTTGGTGCCAATACCATGCTGTTTTTGTTACTATTGCTCTGTGGTATAGTTAAAGGTCTAATAGTGATGCCACCTGCTTCACTTTTCCTGCTAAGGATTGCTTTAGCTATTCTGGGTCTCTAGTCAGAATGGTAGCTATTAATGCATACAAACAACAATTACGTGTAGGTGAGGATGTGTGGAAAAAGATACATTCATACATTGCTGGTGGGACTGCAAATTGGTGCAGCCAATATGGAAAGCAGTATGGAGATTTCTTGGAAAACTGGGAATGGAACCACCACTTGACCCAGCTGTCCCTCTCCTCGGTCTATATCCAAAGTATTTAAAAACAGCATATTACAGGGACACAACCACATCAATGTTTATAGCAGCACAATTCACAATAGCTAAACTGTGGAACTGACCTAGATGCCCTTCAGTATATGAATGGATTAAAATAATGTGGCATATATACACAGTGGAATATTACTCAGCAATAAAAGAGAATAAAATCATGCCATTTGCAGGTAAATGGATGGAGTTGGAAAAGGTAATGCTAAATGAAATTAGCCAATTCCAAAAAACCAAATGCCGAATATTTTCTCTGGTAATAAGGAGGCTGATTTATAGTGGGGTAGGGAATGGGAGCATGAGAGGATTAGATGAACTCTAGATAGGGCAGAGGTGTGGGAGGGAAAGGGAGGGGCCAGGGGGTTAGTAAAGATGGTGGAATGTGATGGACATCATTATCCAAAGTACATGTATGAAGACACAAATTGGTGTGAAAATACTTTATATACAAACAGAGATATGAAAAACTGTGCTGTATATGTGTAATAAAAAATAATTGTAATGCATTCTGCTATCATTTATTTTTTAAAAATCAATTAAAAATTAAAAAAATAAAAAGAAAGAATGAATGAAGAAGATAAAAAAGGAAGAAGAACCTGTATAATATATTGTCCAAAAAGGTTAAAGTAAAGAGAATTCAAGGAAGGGGAGATAGGAGTATCAAATGAAAAAGAGGAAGGGGTTTGAGAATTGCCAAAAGATCACTGACTTTGACAATGTGGAGGTGTCTTAGCCCATTTTATGTTGCAATAACAAAATCCCTGAGACTGGGTACTTCATAAGGAAAATAATTTTACTGGGTTCATGACTCTGGTATCTGGAAAGTCCAAAGAGCATGGCACCTCCATCTGTCTGCATCACAACATGACAAAGAAATGCAGAGCAAATAAGTCACATGCAGAATGGGCATGTGTACAAACAAGGAAGCTGTAATAATCACAAAACCACCACAGTCTAGCACAATTTAGCATAGAGGTAAAAGGCCTATATTCCTTTGGAAAACTGTAATAGAGTATTAAAGTATAGGGGCCAGGCTTGCTATTTTATAACAAGCTGCTCTCCTGGGAACAATCCATTCCTGCAAAACCCAACTCACTTAGAGAAACCAGCATTAATCCATTCATGACCTAATTACCTTCTTCTAGGCCTCATCTCTTAAAGGTTTAATCACCTCAACATAGCAATACTGGGGACCCACACTGCTCACACATAAACCTTTGAGAGACAAACCATATCCTAACTATACTAGAAGTCAATAGTGACCTTTAAGAAGTCAGTTTTAGTACAAAAGGAAAGCAGCAACTTGTGGGAAAAGGGCAACATAGGAGAGATGGGGAAAGAAGGACAAAAGGCTTTGTAGTGAGCATCTGAAGCTGCAATTCATTTGCAGCTTCACTTCATTTGTAGTGAAGGAGAGGGAACGGGAAAATTTTGACTTGATATGGTTAGAGGTTTAAGTAATGCAATGGCTGTACATGTATCTCAGTTTAGAGATGCACTGGCTTCTAACTCCTATAAACACTTCCAACTCTACTTTTCCTCTTTGCCATGATTACGAAATGGTGAAGGAAGAGAGAAGTTCCTATTCACAAAGCATCTTCCTTCTTCCCTTTGTCTAACACTGCAGAGGAAGAATATGATAGTAAAACCATTTCTCATTTACAATTTCACAAGATTGCTAGTTGAACAATTACAACAGACTCCAAACCTCATTAATTTGGACTACATGCATTTGGAATTTGTAGTAATTTAACCTGGGCTGGAGTTACCTTTGTACCATTTACAAAGAAAGGGTTCACTAAGTAAATAGTAGGAACAAGATTTCAAGGGAGATAATTTAGCCTGCCAGGGGCTTATTTCACCTATTTTAAAGAACAGACTGTTTTTTAAAGAATTTCAGTATATTCACCATTTGAATGCAAATTGATTCTACTAATTATAGATCAGTGTAATCTGCTGTTAAAAACCTATCTCTGCAACAGTTAACTTTGCTCTTACCAAGTATGCTTATTAGAAACAAATTGACAATTCTTTAAAGTTAATTCATAATTTAGATTAATGCATACCCCTATTCCCTACCCCCATGAATTAACTATAATTTAGGGGGTATTACCCTAAATTAGCACATCATTTATGAATACAGTGGAAAAATTAATAAGTCATCGGAAAGACTTGAAGCAGCCAAAATAGGTGTTTTAAAGTTGATGTACTAAAGCCCATGCACTCTATCCATGACAGGTTCTATTGACAGCTGATTTAGCTCTTGCTTAACATACTAATATAACACATCAACTGGGAAATCTGGGTGAGTGTTTTTAAGTTCATAACTAATTTGAAGAAGGAAAAGGGCTGCTATATGAAGGGACAGTGAGAGCAATAATAAGTGACAGCAAACTGCAGAAAGGAAATAGGACTTATATAAAATGTAGCTATAATAATCACAAAACCACCACAGTATAGCACAATTTAGTATAGAGGTATAAGGCCTATATTCCTTTGGAAAACTGTAATAGAGTATTAAAGTATAGTGCAATAACTAATGGCTGGAATTATGCCCCTAAATGATCAAATAAATTTAAATTATGTTGAATCTATGCTTTAAAAAGCAGATAAGTTTACACACACACACGTACATGCACATGTACATGCACACACTCTCATACACACAATTCGTACCTGTAATGACTAACCTAAAAATGTGAAACATGTTGATGTTTCAAAAGAGAGGTTCATAATATTATCATATAATAATGATGATGATAGCAAAATAATAGCAATATTTATTAAGTAGTTACTCTGTACAGATAGCAAGCTAAGTACTTTACCCTACAAGATTTCAAATAATTCTAATAATACAAAAAGGTAGGTTTTATTATCACTTCTACTTTACAGTTGAAGAAGTGAAACTCAGAGAGGTTAAGCAACTGACTGCAGGCCACAGAGAAAGACAGAGCCAGGGTTATAACAGGCCACTTCCTTGGTTGTCCATTATGCCTTTCCACACTCCAGAAAATACAGCTCCTTTCTTGAGGGCACCATACAGTTAATATTGTACTGCATTTTCATTTTCCAAATTCAATCTTAACAAATGTATTGATTTATAAGCAGAAATGTGTATAATCTAAGAGACAGATATAATATTATATTTATAAACATGCTTCATTGCTCAAGATAAAAGTGAAGACAATAGTTAAAAAAAAAAACGTATTGAACACATCTATTATATTAGGTCCATTCCAAAATCTCAGATCAGTTTTTGTGCACTGGGAACTCTATTTGCAAATGAATAACCAAGCAACAAAAAGAAGAAATGTTAAAATATCAAGTAACCAGTCAACGTCTGGTTCTCCTATTGTTTCTCATTCCTTTTGGGGAAATTTAAGAAGAAAATAGGCCAATGGGACTTGAAGTATGGAGGAAAGATTAAGGGGAGACTAAAAATTCAGTTGGCTATTATAGAGGATTTAGGAAAATCTATTTGCCAGCTGTTCTAAAAGAATTATAAGGACATAAAAGACATATGGGCATGGTATGTATTGGGAGGAAGAGAGGCGGAGGTGTGTTGATACAAATATATGCAGCTAACTGTGTTAGAAGTGAGATAGCCTGCCACACGTACATACAAAGACAAATGTACAGTGAAACAGGCACTCCTCTAATTCCTTCTACCTAAACCAATGATCTTTATTCATCTCCTCTTGTCTCAAGTCTACCCATTCTTCAAGGATCAGCTAAAAATGTCACTTCTGCCCTGAAGCATTCTATAATCCCTAAAGCTGAATCAAATTCTCCCTAATTTCTGCTCCCATAGGTTTTTATCCCCTTAAGCACATTGACTACAGCACTGACGATACTCTCATTATTAGAGTTATTCATAACTGCTCTCCCCTCTCATCTATTCTCTCATGAGGGGAGTGGTTCTTCCTCATTTCTGAAGCTCCTCCAAGTCCTGGCACAATCCTTACCACATACTAGGCTCTAGGAAAATGTTGATTCAATAGCACTGACTTAAGCACTGACTAGCTTACCTGAAGGAGTATTTGTTCTCTTTCTTTTCTTGCTTGATTCCCCTCCATTCTCAATGAGGCCTTCTGTGACCAGAGGGCCACTGGCACTACCAAACTGCAGGGGCTCGTTGTTGTTGGCAGGGTCAAAGGGCAGCTGGTTCAATCCTAAAGAAGAAAAAGAAAGCCAAAGTCCAGACTCCATTAAGGACTGGGATCATCTCCAGATTTTATTCTATGAGCCGGTAGCGACCTTTTAGGTCTCAAGATCCTAGGAGTTAAGAGTGAATTCCTCAGATAGTTGCCCTGTGGAATTTTTATAGATCTTATTGACAAGTACATAATTAAAATATAGGATAGCAGCTCTGTTACTTGTTAGATCCCTCCTGTTTCTGTGAGAACCTAATATTTCTGTCCACGAGCTATATATTTTCTATTTCCTCCCTTAAAAAGTAGGATCAGCCAGGCATGGTAACACATGAATATAGTCCAGCTACTAGGGAAACTGAGGCAGGAGAATCACTCAAGTCCAGGAGTTCAAGGCCAGCCTGGGCATAATCAGACTTTGTCTCAAATAGAAAAAAGATAGGCCCTTCTTTAAATGTACCTATAGCTGGACCAGCTCTTCCTTTGATAAAGCTTGGCTTTGTATTTTTTTGGATTATCTCCTGACATTTTTTCATTATTTCATTACAAGTTTTGTTGAAGTGATACAGAAATAATTATTATAATGTCCTGATGTCAAAGTCACTGCTGATGATATCATGGAGGTTTCTTAAAAAGTAAACCATAAATCCATGGCAATGGCAATATGAGAAAAGAAAACAAAAAGACATTGTCATAGAGGGGTTACTCAGTCACTGTATTGATATGAAGTTATGACCCAGGTTTGGGGGTATTAATCTCATTTTCTTCAAATGCTATCAGAAGCATGGTCACTTTACTAGCTACTGCTATACCATATAAGATGACAAAAGGCATTTTCTACTCTCTAACCCTTATATACTTCAGTCAGGGGTGATCAGAGATACTTTCTTATTCCTCTAGCGGCAGCACCTAGAGTTTCAAGTGTTTCAATTAAAACTTCTTGAAATATGGAATCAAAAGATTTGTTAAATTCCAAAGTAAAGACATCTCTTCTTAGCCTTTTATCCACTAGTTCTCTAATCCTATCAAAAGGGGAATCAGGTTAGCCTGATAGAGTTCATTCTTCAATTTCCATTTTTTCTATGGCCTATAGCTTTACACTTCTTCAGATAAAGTTGCAAAATATCAATAAAAAGCTTGGAATCCAGACAGCTAAAGGTCAATAAAATTTCAATAAAATGAATACAAGGTTCTAATAAAATGAATTCCCATTACTGTTTATAATAAAGACTGTCCCCTTGTTAATGTTTTCAGCCTACATAGAAAGTACTATTTCTTTAGCAATCAGATTCCACTTGAAACACCTCCATTAAATGGCCTTTGGGATTTGTCAAACATCTTTCCTTTTCATCATGTGAGTAACTAAGTGAAAGGATAAAACTTGCTTCTATATCTTAAGTCAACTATTCACTACATCATATTCATGTCCTATTAAAATATCTAGCACGACTGGGTGTGGTGGCACACATCTGTAATCCTAGTGGCTCAGGAGACTGAGGCAGGAGGATCACAAGTTCAAAGCCAGGCTCAGCAACTTAGTGAGGACCTAAGTAACTTAGCAAGACCCTCTCTCAAAATAAAAAATAAAAGGGCAAGGATGTGGCTCAGCGGTTAAGTGGCCTGGGTTCAATCGGTGAATCACCCCCCAAAAGAAAATCTCTACTATGACTAGAACTATAAAAATATATATATTAGAAAATATTGAAGTCACAACCAAGATTACTTTCAAAATCTACATTTTATATCATTTACAACAGTCACTAATATGGCATTATGAAAAAATGTGGATGTGTAACCGATGTGATTCTGCAATCTGTATTTGGGGTAAAAATGGGAGTTCATAACCCACTTGATTCTAATGTATGAAATATGAGATGTCAAGAGCTTTGTAATGTTGTGAACAACCAATAAAAAAAATACAAAAAAAATAAATAAAAATGAAGATTTTTCTTGCACCTGAGTAGTCCAAAGTCAAATATGATAAGTATATTATTCTAAAACTTTTCTTGGCATTTCTTTCTGCAGTATCATACTGATCAAAATAAGTTCTATGGAAAACAGAATGGTATAGTGGAAAGAGTGTGCTAGATTGGGGTTCAAATCATGATTACCCTTCCTACTAGATAGCTTTTGGCAATTCATGTAGTCTCACACCTAGTTTCCTAATATAAAATGAGGAGACATAAGACTACACAAAGTTATTGCAAAGATTAACAAACATAGTTATGATAATTATATAATTCTAAATGAACTAAAATAAATTAAATGAATTAAAATAAATGATAAGCTTATAGGTTCTTCTAAGGAGGAGCTCTCTCCCTTCACCTCACTCCTCCCACAGCTATATTATTTATGCCTAGCACCATATCTAACATATAATAAATGTTGAATTAATTAATTAATCCTCAATAAGTGGGGGTAGGTGACTCATCATATTAACCCATGTAATTAGAGTAAAGACTTGGCAGTTGATCATCAAGAATTAATGCCACAACTGAAAATTTCTGATGCTGATTATAGCAACATTACTTAAAATAGATTTTCAATGCATCTCTATCATTTGAGTACTATACAGCAAAATGGGGGAAATCCTGATTAAAAGGAATGCTCAAGGATCAGGAGGTTCTGATTAATGGTTTTTAATCATAAAAGTCTTTCTTATTTTGTCTTGCATTTGATAATTCACAGAATAATATATCAGTCCACTTCCATGCCCTATTAAGTAGATGACTGAGGATCTTACAGAGTTTCAGAGCAGTACCTAAGTCATAGGACTTGGTAAAAGTATTAAATGAGATCATATATGAGATCATAAAGGTAGAATATTCTATACCACATCTGGCACACAGTATATGTTCAATAAACACATAAATGTATATTTTTTATAAATGTATATTTTAATCGTGTCTGGGGTGTGGCCCTGATCTCCAATTCCTGCTTTCACCCAGACTGCCACTGCTTCCATTTTCCTTTGGGATGAACAAATGAAACATCCAGGATGGGTCTGGGTGCTGAAGCTAAATGGACATGGTAGGCTCAATAAATATTAACTGCTACTGTTATAATACTGAATTTCCATTTTAAATATCTCATATTGTTGATGTAGAATGTGAAGAGATAAATCTGAATTTTCCCTGATCCAAGGATATTGCCTAATTTTCCCAATGAACTTTTTCACTGCTTATTTGTATCTTTTTGAAAAAGTTGAAGGAGTCCAGGAAAAAAAAAAATCTGGTGAACTAAATTGTTCTTACCCTTTATTTAGTCCCAGATGATATCTTAGGGGATTTGGGTATTTTATTCCTCATGTTAATTTATAGATCCTTTTGATACTGAATAAGACTGAGATTCCAAGTACATTCTGTGTCTTCTTCGCCTCATATATAATCCAGATATGTGAAAATCCTGATAATTTGGTATAATATTTTAGGCCTTATTTTTTATAGGGAAAGATCTCATGTCAAGGAGAAAGAGGCATCTCACTCAGTAACCTGATTCACTAAAAACAAATCCACATTCTATATTATCCAGAACCCAATATAATATCTAAAGATTTATAGATCAAGAGCAAAGGCTATAGAAATAGCAAAATCCTATGATACCAGAACATCCTAGCTACTTTTATTGTATTGTTTCATTCTCCCCCTAAGACAACAACCTACTTACAGGATCTTTCTGTGCTGTATATATGTGATGCATGCTAAATGTTATTTAAAATAAGATAGCTCCATTAAAATTATTTAGATCCTAAAAAGAAAACTACCACTTTAATTTCAAGAATTCTTGCTGGAAAAATTTCAATGATGACATAAACATAAAAGTATTACCAATTACCATACTGTAATTCTCACCCAAATGACATAGTTTAATCTTTAATCTCTTATGGAAGCAATTTCTGGCATTTTCTACTAGAAATGATGAAATGGAAAGTATTATTAGGAAGAACTTTTGAGGTCATCTAGTTTATGCTCAGCAATACAGAAATCTTGTCTACCTGATTCCTGAGAGGCTTGGGGCACTTTTTTGCCTGGGGTCCATTCCTTGCTAGGTTCATAGGCCTTCAGCTGGTTTTCCTTTTAAAAACTACTACCCATATGATTTGGGGGATTCCTTTTATTTCCCCCAAACTGCTTATCATTCCTAGAATGAGTACATGAGATATTAAATTTTTTAAGCATTCTACTGATAGTGGCTGCAAGAAAAACAAATGAAGAAGTGAAAGACACCTAACAGAATGAAGTCAGAAAATTTCTCGCCTTAAAGCATTTCTCATAGTCCTTGCCCTTTTATTCTTAAGGATAAACTTAATAAAACTTCGTAGCTTATTCAGTTTTCCCCCTACATCTCATCTTCTTATCCTCCAAGTTTACAAAATTTACAGGTTATTCACAATAAAGTCCAAATTGATAAAATAAAAACAAATAGATCAAAAAATATTAGTGTCATAGATTTCTGCTATTTCTGTACCTTACGGTTACAACCAAACAAATCTATATAGTAATATATTCTTGTCTAAAACCAAAGTGACTACTATAGACAAACTGACCAGCTGTTTTTCATGTCATGTCAAAATACAAATTATGTGCTGGGTGTATGGTGCATGCCTGTAATCACACCAGCTCTAGGAGGATTGCGAGTTCAAAGTCAGCCTCAGCAAAAAGCAAAGCACCAAGCAACTCAGCAAGACCCTGTCTCTAAATAAAATACAAAATAGGGCTGGGGATGTGGCTCTGTGGTCAAGTGCCCCTGAGTTAAATCCCTGGTACCCACCCCCCAAATACCTATTATGTGACTTCACAGCACACAGAATGCCTCTTTAGAAAGTATGCATACCAGGGAAGGGTAGTGGAAGGATTCTTGGAGAATGACATTTCTCATCCAATGTAAGTGGGGAAGTTAAACACCTCAGAAAGAAATCAAGGAGTTCACATGCAATGATGTCTACCATACAAATGCAAGTGATTCGTGGGCTTTGAGGAAAGCACTGAAGAATTTTCATGATTCTTGTGAAAGAAGATCAA